TGGTCACTATGCACTCTGGGTGGATGGTCACTATGCACTCAGGGTGGATGGTCACTATGCACTCTGGGTGGATGGTTACTATGCACTCTGGGTGGATGGTCACTATGCACTCTGGGTGGATGGTTACTATGCACTCCGGGTGGATGGTCACTATGCACTCTGGGTGGATGGTCACTAAGTACTCCGAGTGGATGGTCACTATGCACTCTGGGTGGATGGTCACTAAGTACTCCGAGTGGATGGTCACTATGCACTCTGGGAGGATGGTCACTATGCACTCTGGGAGGATGGTCATTGTGCACTCTGGGAGGATGGTCACTATGCACTCTGGGAGGATGGTCACTATGCACTCTGGGAGGATGGTCACGATGCACTCTGGGTGGATGGTCACTATGCACTCTGGGAGGATGGTCACTATGCACTCTGGGAGGATGGTCACTATGCACTATGGGAGGATGGTCACTATGCACTCTGGGTGGATGGTCACTATGCACTCTGGGTGGATGGTCACTATATGCACTCTGGGAGGATGGTCACTATGCACTCTGGGAGGATGGTCACTATGCACTCTGGGTGGATGGTCACTATGCACTCTGGGTTGATGGTCACTATGCACTCTGGGTGGATGGTCACTATGCACTATGGGAGGATGGTCACTATGCACTCTGGGTGGATGGTCACTATGCACTCTGGGTGGATGGTCACTATATGCACTCTGGGAGGATGGTCACTATGCACTCTGGGAGGATGGTCACTATGCACTCTGGGTGGATGGTCACTATGCACTCTGGGTGGATGGTCACTAAGTACTCCGAGTGTATGGTCACTATGCACTCTGGGTGAATGGTCACTATGCACTCTGGGTGGATGGTCACTATGCACTCTGGGTGGATGGTCACTAAGTACTCCGAGTGGATGGTCACTATACACTCTGGGTGGATGGTCACTATGCACTCTGGGAGGATGGTCACTATGCACTCTGGGTGGATGGTCACTATGCACTCTGGGTGAATGGTCACTATGCACTCTGGGTGGATGGTCACTATGCACTCCGAGTGGATGGTCACTAAGTACTCCGAGTGGATGGTCACTATACACTCTGGGTGGATGGTCACTATGCACTCTGGGTGGATGGTCACTAAGTACTCCGAGTGGATGGTCACTATACACTCTGGGTGGATGGTCACTATGCACTCTGGGAGGATGGTCACTATGCACTCTGGGTGGATGGTCACTATGCACTCTGGGTGAATGGTCACTATGCACTCTGGGTGGATGGTCACTATGCACTCTGGGTGGATGGTCACTATGCACTCTGGGTGAATGGTCACTATGCACTCTGGTGGATGGTCACTATGCACTCTGGGTGGATGGTCACTATGCACTCTGGGTGAATGGTCACTATGCACTCTGGGTGGATGGTCACTATGCACTCTGGGTGAATGGTCACTATGCACTCTGGGAGGATGGTCACTATGCACTCTGGGTGGATGGTCACTATGCACTCCGAGTGGATGGTCACTAAGTACTCCGAGTGGATGGTCACTATACACTCTGGGTGGATGGTCACTATGCACTCTGGGTGGATGGCCACTAAGTACTCCGAGTGGATGGTCACTATACACTCTGGGTGGATGGTCACTATGCACTCTGGGAGGATGGTCACTATGCACTCTGGGTGGATGGGCACTATGCACTCTGGGTGGATGGTCACTATGCACTCTGGTGGATGGTCACTATGCACTCTGGGTGGATGGTCACTATGCACTCTGGGTGAATGGTCACTATGCACTCTGGGTGGATGGTCACTATGCACTCTGGGTGGATGGTCACTATGCACTCTGGGTGGATGGTCACTATGCACTCTGGGTGGATGGTCACTATGCACTCTGGGAGGATGGTCACTATGCACTCTGGGTGGATGGTCACTATGCACTCCGAGTGGATGGTCACTAAGTACTCCGAGTGGATGGTCACTATACACTCTGAGTGGATGGTCACTATGCACTCTGGGTGGATGGTCACTAAGTACTCCGAGTGGATGGTCACTATACACTCTGGGTGGATGGTCACTATGCACTCTGGGAGGATGGTCACTATGCACTCTGGGTGGATGGGCACTATGCACTCTGGGTGGATGGTCACTATGCACTCTGGTGGATGGTCACTATGCACTCTGGGTGGATGGTCACTATACACTCTGGGTGGATGGTCACTATGCACTCTGGGAGGATGGTCACTATGCACTCTGGGTGGATGGTCACTATGCACTCTGGGTGAATGGTCACTATACACTCTGGGTGGATGGTCACTATGCACTCTGGGTGAATGGTCACTATGCACTCTGGGTGGATGGTCACTATGCACTCTGGGTGAATGGTCACTATACACTCTGGGTGGATGGTCACTATGCACTCTGGTGGATGGTCACTATGCACTCTGGGTGGATGGTCACTATGCACTCTGGGAGATGGTCCTATGCACTCTGGGAGGATGGTCA